ATTATTTCAAGTGTTTAAAAATTATATTATTTTAGTTGAAAATTTTAAAAATGGCAAAATGTGAAGAGAAATTTCTACTTCAAAATGCAATCCCAGTACAATATTATAAAAATATATAATTACAATATTATAAAGTATTACGATTGAAAAACAAACATTCACAAAATATATGTTAAAAAATCTATGAAATCATCAAAAAAATTGATAAACTTTAAACAAAGTTGTTTAAACTCTTAAACAAAGTTCAACCAAACGACTTAGATTATATATTTACAGTTATTAGTATGTTATCATAAAAGCGTAAATATTATTGAAATTTTATAAACAGTATTAAAATATTATGCATCTATAATATTAATTTGGCATTACAATACATGCTAATGTCAATAATTTTAATTTTGAGATAAACTTTTTGGATTAATTCGATATGCACTTCAGTAGCAAAAATAATTAGTATAAATAAAGAATACAGAGACATTTATTACAAATTTATATGAGATAACATATGAAACAAGAAGTCAAAATATATTTGATAAATATAGATTTATATACTGAAATATTTTTTACAGCAAATCGCAGATATCGAAATTGTGGATATCGCTGTATATGTGAAAACTTAATTAAATTAAGTTCAAAAAATTTCAAAAATCATATTTTCTTGAAATGCCGCACAAATAAGTTATTGATGACTAGCGATATGTAAACTTCAACAAGAATTATGATGCATGGTTAGCCTTATAATAAATAACTTAAAGCTACATTAACATATATACAAATACATTTATACTTAGTTCTAAAATAATATCACTGGATTCAATATGCTTCGAATTCAAATGAGACACTATGGTAAAATAAAAAATCGAGTCAATAAACATCAATTAACCGTTTCACTACGACCTGTGTGTACGGGTGTCGCCTATATGCGACACAAAGTGTAGTGGCTCTTGCTTCAAGATTCATATTCTAATTTGTTATTGTAATTGTTAGTTTTTCACAAATGTTATTTTAAGTGGTTAACTATTGAAAAAACTTGAAAATTTTTGTATTTGATTCAGTGGCGCTACTGGGCTACTCGCTGTTCCGTAAAGCAGTGTCACTCCTGCGGAAAACACTACCGTAACGAAAGTTTTAATGGACCAAAAAGATATATTATTACAAGCAATTATAAAAGATGAAACAATCTTTATTCTTGAGCTTAGTTATCATTTAGTAATGTAAAACATAGACATAAATATAATTAATTGAGAACAGAATTCAATATATATATATATATATATATATATATATATATATATATATATGCGCGTATTTGTGTGTTAAAACATTTAAAAGTAATTTTGATGTGGAAATGCCAGTCTCAATCTTCAGGGCAACACATCAAATAAAAAATGTAGAAATTTATAAAATCTTCACAATTTCCATAAGTTTCGACATATTATCTTATGTAATCTTCAGTGGAATGTAAATTGGAATGTTCCTAATTAACTATTGATTTTTTCTCCCTTTTATTAATAACCCTTTTATTAAGAATAAAAATATATTCTATAAACTATTTTGATATACATGATTTACATATAATTATAGATAGTAATAGATAGTAATTGGCCATAATTTTAATTACTGATGATAATAATAATAATTTACAATAACACTACTACACTATTTCCTGTCAGTTTAATTATAAAAAAAAAAATTATATAATTTTTTTATTTGATGTATTGCCCTAGAAATTGTTAGTATGGATTTGAAATACATTAAAGAACGAATAAAGTAGTATAAAATAAGGGTAAATTTCTTTGACTTTACTTGGACAAGGAAATTTTCCCAGAGGGGGCTCCTATTAACCGCGTGATAGATTTCTAAAGATTTTTGAACCCCCCCCCCCTCCTTTCCAATATTTGATGATGTTTGATATTACGCCCTCTCCCTGGAAAAACATCACGTGCATTATTAGTACATAAAAAATAATTTTAAAATTTTTGTTTATTTTTTTTTGAAAAAGCCTTTTTTTAATTGAGGTAAAAAATACTCGTGATATCTTGCTAGACCCTCCCACCCCCCAAGTAATACTTCGTGATTTTTTGTCAAACCCCCCTTCCCCTTCAATACTCACGTGATTTATAGATGCCCCCAAAAGAGTTTTCTAAGAAGAACAACGATATTATTTATAATCAAAGTCAACATTGCTACAATGTAAATATTTTATTGCACCGATCTTTCAATCATTTACCATAGCGCCTCATTTTAGCACCAGATACCAAACAAACTTAAGTTCGCTTTGCATTGTTAATAAACGCGTAGTGTTTTTGTTTTTTATGTATCTGAAGATCAAATTTCCAACAACATGTGAAAGGGCAAAGATCGCATTTATATTCAACTCTGGAACGAGGCTGCTTATTGTAACATCTGCAGATTGGCGTCATTGAAGCAGAAACTGAGGGGTATCTACCCCGCAAATCTAATAAACGACTGGTGGTGCAAATGCGGCACACTGCGTTCGTTGTGGTCTTACCTGAAAAATAAAAAAATATTGTTAGTAAAATGATAAATGTTAAAACAATTGTAGAATAAGTGTATATATATGGATATGTGCAAAAGTAACTATATTGCTATGAATCCTGTGATCAAAAATCAAATATAAAAATGATCACATAACGTGCAATAAAATTAATAAAATAATATGGCAGCATGAAAAATAGTTTTACACGATCATAAATATAAAACAGAACATAAAACTAATATTTTTTATTTAAAAAACAGTATTTACTTAAAATGCATAAACGCATGAATTAACATCAACTCAGACCATTAAATTAAAATTAACAGAAACAGCTTTTTATCAATAGCATTTTATTATATTTTTATTCAGATTGAACGAAAATTAATCTCAATGTCTTCCCAACATTTCCTGATGAAACCACATTTTCATCAAATTGTAAATAATTAGTTCATAGTCCAGTCTAGTACATCATCTTTTCCATTTCCTGCAAAAAAAAATCTAAAACATTAGTATGAATAATTCATGATTTTTTCAAATAAAAGTTAACGATTTTCTCCTGAGAAAGCCTCTTATTCTGCAACAAAATAAAATAAATTATATTTGTTATTTATTACAGTTAATACTAAATAAATAATTGCACGCAAAAAATTAAAGATTAAAAGTGTTTATCCGCATATTTATTGTCTATTTAACACGTAAATACAAATATACTATTTTTTAAAATAAGAAACATTAATAAAAATTAAATTAAATGTAGCTATACATAATACAAATTGTATGTCATTTTTTTTAATTCTAATAAATTAATCCCAGAATATAATATAACCTTATACTAATATTTATTACAAAAATTGTCAATCTTAAGTAAATTTTAATGAAAATAATTTAAGTAATTTTATTCAATTCTTAATAACGCAACAGTTTGTTATCACAAAATTTTAATAATAACAAAAACAATTATATTTTTGATTAAATACTCGCAATTTTGCTTATGTACATACAAGTCTAGTCGAGAAATTTATAGTAGCAAATAATTAAAATAATATTAAACTTTAACAATATTGATTTTGTTTTTCGATATACACATATTTTCGTAAATATATAAATTAGTCATAATTAAGACTCCAATGAGCCGCATAAAATTAAAATAAATAATATAATTATTTATTTGCACTAGTAAAGACATCCGATGGGTTCTGCAAAATGATCAAAAAGGAAAAATTATTATCAAAAATTTGTAGTGCATTTTTGTTTTGATTTCTTATTTTAAAAGAAAAAAACGCTACAATTTTCTGACGATGATTTTGAGTTTTAAGGTTTTAATTTTGAAGATTTTCTCCAGCTGATTGATATCACACACCTAGAATCAAAACTGGTTCAAATAAAAAAAAATTAAAATAATTAATTGGTAATATATAAATATCAAACAAAAGGCACTGTAGCAAAAAAAAACAAAGATGTGTCATCATGCAGCAAAAAAGTCATCAAAATCTAGTAATAAATTAAACTCAAAATCATTAGAAGAAAAAAAATTCTGTTAATGATTTTGAGTTTAATTAATGTTGTAATTTTGAAGATTTTCTCCGGCTGATTTGATCGCACATATTTAGTGTCGAAGCTAGTTCAAAAAAATTATATTAGAATAAATAATAAGAAATATATAGATATTACAAGTCTGTAGCAAAAAAAATTAAAAAAACATTAAGATGTGTGTCACTATATAACAGAAAAAAATGTTCAAAATATAAAAATTAAACTTAAAATCATTAGAAGAAAATAACAGTGATAATTTTCTGATAATAAATTTTATTTCATTTAATGTTGTAATTTTGAATATTTTCTCCGGTTGATTGTAGTATACACCTAGTGTCGAAACTAGTTCAAATACAAAAATATATGAAATATTTAAAAAAAAAAAATAACAAAACCGCGAAGATGTGTGTAATCCAGAAAATCTTCAAAATCTAAGAATTGATTAAACTCAAAATCGTCAAAATTTTACGATAATTATTTTGAGTATATTTAATGTTGTAATTTTGAAGATTTTCTCTAATATAGCGGCATATATATCTAATGTCGAAACTAGTTCAAATACAAATTTATATTAACACTTTCCACTCGCGAATTCCGAGATTCATATGAATTTTGCCGCCGTAGCGGCGACATCCGAGTTGAAAGGGTTAAATATGATTCATACGAAATAGTTTATAAATATCAAACACAAGACACTGTAGCACCAAAAAATTAACAAAAACATGAGCGATACAGCAAAAAATAAACATCAATTAAACACAAAATCATTATTATAATAGTGCATTTTTGTTTTGATTTTTTATTTAAAAAATAAAAACGCTATTTTGAGTTTATTTAATGTTGCAATGAAGATTTTCTCCTGTTGTATAATGACGCACATTTAGTGTCAAAACTAGTTCGAATAAAAAATTATATTAAATAAAATTCATACGAAATATGTATATAAATATCAAACCCAAGACATTGTAGCAAGAAAATTAACAGAAACATGAAAGATATAGCGAAACAAAGTAATAAGAAGCAGCTATTCTTTATAATATGCTTATAAATAAAAGTATCATAATGTTAACCGTACATAAAAATATATGTTTATATTATCATAATCATTTAATATTATATAGTTTGAATCACAACGTTCCTATGCCTGCGCATGGTGTGTGATTTTAGATGCGATCGTCGTTTCGCCGCATAAGAACAAAGATGGCATTGGTGCAGCCGAGGCTGGTTTTCGCATTCGTATTTCTCGTGACGGGCCAGGTAGCGCGCGCTCTTGTAGGAGCGCCCGCACTTCGCACATTCGTTTCTGATGAGTTCATCTGGAAATAGATAAATATAAGATTGGATGGATTAGTGAACAAAAAGGATGAGATGAAATCAATTGAATTTAAAAATTTCTTGGAAAAAAAATTAAATATATAATATTTTAGGGCGTCCATTAATCACGTGATCGTCTTTTTAGGGATTTTTGGACACCCCCTCCCCCTTGGTAATACATGGTGGTATTTAAAATTACCCCCCTCCCCTACTAAACACCACGTGTATTTTTAATTACAAAAAAATTTAAATATTTGGATTTTTTTTAATTTAGGTTAAAAGTAAATACACGCAATATGTTACTATACCCCTTCCCCCCGCGGGATATTTTTTGTCAACCCCCCCCCTTCCCCTAAAAACCTCTCGTGACTAATAGACGTTCGCGTACAATAAAAGTTTCAGTAAGGTACAAAAATTGAGTCATTTTATTTTTAAATTGATTGTGATATCCGAAATTTGATTGAACACTGTTTATAAGGATAGTCACATTAACATTTTACAATCTTTATATATTACAAATGCTTTAGCATCCACGTCATGTATCACGCTTCTATTAATCGCAATGTGCTTCCGCAAGCTAATTTCTGACTGCGGGAAAAGATAAAACGATAATACCCAAAGAATCAGTTAGTCATTAGTCATTACCTTAATTGGTATAATACTAATAAGCCATATAAATATAAATTCAGAATAATTGATTTTGAAATTTGAATGACGAGTGTTTTTTAAGCAACGCGTAATATAAAAACCGCGCTGTAAGATACATGCTTGGATTTAGTAGTACTACACAGTCTAATTCATAACGCGTATGGGAACCGCGCTATATTAAACTAGAAATTAGTACAAATCACATCATTAACACCGCACTATATGGAAACCAATAAATACTTAAAACGAGATAAATTAAAAATTATTTTTTTACTGAATTGGATATTTTATGTAAGTATAAGATGCAAGAGCAATTCCATTTCAAATTTTGATAAAAAGTAATAATCAGAATACAGAATACATTCATAGTTTAATTATTCGCTTGTACGATATTTTAACCTTTTCATTGCAAATGATGAAAATCAAAATAATGAATATTCAAAAATGTTATATAATTAAATTTTAAATAACGCGGGTTGTGTGCGTACCGCGTAATATAAAAACCGCGCAGTAAAATACTTAGATTTAAAGAGCAAATTAACCTAATTCGTAACGCATTGTATGGAAACCGCGCTATAAGAAATTCGAAGTTAGTAAACCGCGTCATTTGTGCCGCGTTATAAGGAGAGCAATAAATACAAAAGACGGCATTATTTATAAATTATTTTTAATGAATTGAAGGAGTTTATATAAGTTTATGATAAAAAAAAACATATAAATCACTTTTATTGAATTGACGAGTTTATAATGGGATATAATGAAAAAAAAATTTAACTTTTTTAATACAAAATTTACCAAGCAGATTTTTCAAGTGTTTGCAAGTTCTGTGGCGATGTAACATGGCATATTTATATAAGCATTATTGTCAAAGATAAGAGTTTTTAATAAAGCATGTATTGAAATCTTTTTCTAATATCCCAATGGCTTATATAATTGTTCGGATTGTCGTTCCATACATGTACAAAAAATTCTTTTACATAACTAGTTATAAAAGTCCTACTCATAGATTGCGCAAAATAAATAATAAACTTATCAAAAACCGTGCAATAAGAGTACAGCGTTATATGAAGGCGTAATATGAAAACCGTTTACAAAGTATCTGCCGCGTCATAGAAGGGTTAAGTATACTTTTATGAAGTAGGAGATGCAAAAGAAAAATAAATTTTTATATAAACATTTGATAGCAGTCACTAACTTTGAAGTGTTTTGTGATGCCTTTTGTAAGATCCCTTTCAGGGATCATTTCCGAGATCAAATAGAAATGTTACGGGTCTATCTTCGTATGAATTGCTAGTAACAAACTGTCAAAAAGCTGTCAGGTGTTATACATATAAAACTTAACATACAAACGGCACAAGCCTCAAATAACAATTGTGATACAAGTTCAACTTTCTGATAACACATACGTAAAGTTAGGTTTTATAAAATGTAGAACAAATAAAAGTAAATGTCAAATGCGATACAACATGACGTAGGTAAATTTCTGATTTTAAACAAAATTGATTAAATTTTAATTACCTGCATCCACGGAGATCCTTCTAGTAAATCCATTTCTTCCATATTTTAAAACCGGCATTTTGCCGCAAGATTTAGCTACATGTTGCCATAAACTGACCCGATCATCAAATTCTTCGCCGCATTTTGGACACATATAAGTCAACGGTGGCCCAATATCCTCGAGTGGATCAAAATCTGCAATACAACAATTAAAAGTTAGATATTTTAGAAGTCTTTGCGAGGTAAACCAAAAACCAAAGTAGGACTAAACAATTAGGGAAATATACATGCGCGGAAGAAAAAGAAACTCGTTATGAAATATATTTTGTATTGTGATTTGTTTATACAATTTGCTTAAATCTACAACACTCGCACAAATTGGACATATGTACATCGATTTATCAAATACTGGCTCACATGTTTATGGCAGTGAATACACTAAACTAAATATAACTTGACTTATACATGACAGACAGCAATGTAATTTACAAACTAGTTACACACTATTATATTAAACTTAATCCATAATTTTGCACCAATGATTTATTAATATACATATTAGCAAATCCAACTTTAACACCATTACAAGATTTTGATCACATTTACTATCATTTTTATTCTCACATACAACACTGCTCCCATACAAGAAACAAACACGTGTTTTGTGACTCATACACCTGATTAATCAATAAAACAACATTCAAATTAACAGAATAATTAGTAATCCTTTATATCAATTATCCACTGATAAAATTACACATAATACTTAATTTGTCACAGTTTTAATAACAAATTTTATTTCAGAAAACTAAATCACGACTAGCTTACATCAAATCATGACGTATAGTGAAGCTATAGGATTGCAAGGACAAAGATTCTCCCCAATTTTCGGTCACATTCAACAGCTGGTTACTGAAGGCACCGCAGTGCCAAATTTGACACATACGCTGGTTCTCAAACTTTTCGCAACAGAAGAAAAAAAAAATGATGGTAAATTAAAATGCATGTAAAATCAATTTTGTGTATTGCTTGATAAATGAAATAAAATCTATATATGAACCTATTTAGAAATGTAAGTTTAAATACAAAATGTTTTTTTAATTGCACGTACTAATATATGATTTTTTGAATATGATTTATTTTTAAATTAATATTAATATAACATTAAATATTTTAGTACGTATATTTTTTAAAAAAAATATTAAACTCAATATTGAACGACAAAGCTAGTCACAATATAATTTTTATTCACATGCAAATTAATTAAAATATTTATATCCAATTTCAACTAAAACAAATAATATTGTATTTTTACTATTATATTCCCTAAATTTAAATATTAATAATACTTTATGTACATAAATATTTCATTTATCCATTTACAGTTGAAGAAACCCTGACAGACCAGGACACAAAACTTGTTTTAGGCGCTCGAAACACAAAGAGCGACCAGGTAGATTTTGTCGGCGAGGGATCGGCCGATTTGGCAGCGATGTAAGAAACATACACCAGATCGAAACATCCTGGTTAATTTTATAAGATGTTTAAAATTTATCACAAGATAATTGTAAAAAATATGGGAGGAATATTTATTTATATTATTACAATAATTATTTATTTAATTTCATATAATGATTCAAACTATGAAGAAAATTTGCATATAAGGTTAATGCCATGTGAGATTTTCAATAAATTATTTAAGGTTTTATTTCATCAGAATTATTAAATATTATAGGTAATCGATAACGGATATCAAATTTGGTATAACTAATATTAAATTTATGTACTACATGTATATAGGCCGGTTTTAATTTTTGAACATATAAAAATATGTTTTAAATTGATAATAAAATAAACAATTAAAATTTTGTTTAATAATATGTTTAAAACGAATTATATTATATGAGTTTTAGAAATATTTTATATTAATACAAAAAGTGTCAGTTTGATATAAAAAACAGCTTTAAGTTGGAGGCCGGCGTGAAGTTTAAGAACGTTGGCTAGCACAAACTAGCCCAAATTCGATGTTAGGTTTGGCCAGCTTGATATCAAGCAGTATGACATCAAATTACTACTTTAAGTTATAGATCTCAAATATAATATTAAGTGAAAATCGCTTTCATGGGTCTACCAACTCCTACCAATTACTCATGTCGTATTACATTACTTCTCATAAAGGAAAAATTAAACTGTGTATTTTTCACTATTTATATATCAATGCAATTTTTTATCTATGATCGCCAAAAGATTTACTAAATGCCCATGTGGGACAGTTGTAAATATATTTTTGAATATAAAAAAAATAAAAAAACTTCATATAACGATCCAAATCATGAAAAAATTGCATATAAGGTTGATGCCCTTAGAAAGAGCATTATATTATTTAAGAGTTATTAATATTATATTTAATCGATAACGGATATCAAATTTGGTTTAACTATCATTAAATTTATTTAACACATGTATATTGTATGACAGTTATAATTTTTACAAATGAAACATATAAAAAAATGTTTTAATATATATGTGAACGAATAATATTATATGTGAATTACAAAACAAATTCAAAAATATTTATATTAACTCTTTCCACTCGGATGATGCCACTCCGGCGGCAAAATTCATATAAATCTCGGAATTCGCGAGTGGGAAGAATTAATACAAAATATTTCACTTTAATATTACATACAGCTTTGATTTTAGTTTTAAGCCCGCCGTGAATGTTAAGAACGTTGGCTTGCACACACTAGCCCGAAATCAATCTTAGGCTTGGTCAGCTCGATATCAAGCAGTATGATATCAAATTTCCACTTAAAGTTATAGTTCTCAAATATAATATTAAGTAAAATTTGCATTTCATGGGCATTGTTGCAGCATATATACACGTATATACACGATTAGAGAACACATCTAATATAGTTTGAAAAAAAAAAAGGGTGGATAACCGCTGGGTTGCTCCACAAAAAAACACTAGGTAAGGATGTACGATAACAAACACATCTCATACAACATGCAGTTCTGATCGCTGTGAAAAATAATTTTATATAACTGAGTAAACAATTTGATTAAAAAATCAAAATTTTACGTGCAAAGTTTCCTTAATATGAGATAAAAAATATGGCGAAACGATGGTGACATATAAAATGTCCATTAATTGTTAGTTCAGTATTGTGCACGGCCATAGTGTTATGTCATAGACATAATGCCAAAAATAAATTCGCATTGAAAAAATTTAGATTTTATAATATATTAATTTTATGATGATTTTATTAATACAATGAAGCATTTAGTTCAGGATGTCTTCTCAAAATGTGTTGTTTAAGATTGCTCTGTCTTTTTGTCCTGGCTGGACAAGCTGGACATTGGAACATAGGCGGTATACCACATTCAAAATTCAAATGTCGCGTCAAATGCCGCCGATTTTTGTATATTTTCCCGCATTTCATACATGGAAACCCCGTTGAAGGATCATTGTGTTTGTTACGAGAGTTCCAGTAAAAACCTGTAAAAGACAAAATTTGTCAATTAAAAATAATATTAATTTAATCTCAAATTATAATTTTGATACCTACAATACACATTTCAGGAATGCCTGGCTAATAAACAACTGCAAAAACTCATGCGAATACACAATTAAATTTAAAAAACTGTAAAAATTCATGCTAGATACGACAATAAAAATATTATTTTTAAATATTTAAGTAAAACAATAGTTGAGTATTTATTCTTTTTAAAATATAATTCACAGGATACATAAATATATTATATATATTCCTAATAAATAAATTTTTCAAAAAAAAAAAAATATTTATTTTTTATTTTATTTTTCATTAATATTATAGATAATGCATTTGGGACTAAAACTTAAGTTTTGCAGAACTAATTATACAAAATGTTGAAATAAGCATTTAGTATGGAATTAGGTGTATACTTATTATAAATATTGCAGTTAAAATTAGGTAGGTATACAAAGCTAGTTTACATTAGCATTTTATAATTTCGTTAATAGATATCTTCAGAATTTTTATATTAATAGATTTTCTTTATTACCTTTCCGTAGGATAGTTATAGTATTAGGAAAATGAAAATTTTTGCATATTTTCACGTTTTGAAGGTTTCTGAACATTTTGGCATACCTCTGAAAAATTTGATGTGTGTGTATTTTGTATGTACGTTTTCGGGCGCGCGGCTCAACCGATTTGAATAGTTCAAAAAACATTCGATTCCTATTGATATGGACATGTGCTGATTAGTTTTTGGTAAAGGCAGGTCCAGCCGTTACGGAGATACGGAGCAAAGAGTGCAGAAAATACAAATCGAGTTTTTGAGAGAACGGAGCATCCGATTTGAATTATATAAACAACATTCAATTTATAATGATTGGGAAAAGAAGTAATTAGTTTTTGGCAAAGGCAGGTCTAGTCAATTCGAAGATACAGAACTAAAAGTGCAAAAATAGCAGTTTTTGAGAAAACTAAGCGTCCGATTTGAAGAATTCAAAGAACTTTCTGTTTGTTTTAACAAAAAAATTTTGCTTCAAATTTTTTTTTTTCAATATTTATAATAATCTATTTGAAAACATTTAATATTCCTCGAATATTTCGTTACGGTACGGGAATTTCCAGCAATTTGCCTTAAGGCACGATGCCATACACCACTAGTTTTTTATTCAAATTAATAATTTATTCGGTCTATAATAACTAAAAGGCGAATCATATTGACTAATTAGTTTCATTCCTACCATTTTTATTTTTTTATATTACCTAATGATTGTTTTACGTATTTTTCAGTCACTTTGTAACAATTTCAAAAAAACAAATTTATTAATATTTACATCAGCCAATTTTTGGTAATAACTTTAATTTTTCTAATTCGAAAGCCAGTCCAGTGATTGGATGTCCGGATAAGAAATTTTATTTTAATCATTCGCAATTAATATTTAATTAATTAGTTCATACAGATTTATTAAAAATAATGTGTTTATAAATTTACAAAATAACATGTATTCCTAATTTTTAATATAGACCAAATTCACTCTTCCAATAAAAACTAAAAAGTGTTTTTGCTTCTGCACATAACAGATATTTAACATTCATAATGCATGGTAATATAATATAATCAACATCACTTCTACCTTTCGAAAGGTAAATATAACCCTTCAAAATGACAAAATATATATTTGGAAATATTTCAACTTTTTTTCTCATAAATATCGAATTCAACTATTTTTATTTCAATAAATTATTTTTTAAATATTTAATTTTTAAAAAAATCTGCATGTTTTTTCGCAAAATGCCGTTTGATGTTGCTTTGTCGATGACTTCTAACTGGACAGATTGCACATTGGAACTTTGGAGTCATCCCACATTCATATTTCACATGACGAGTCAAATGATATCGATTCTTGTAAACTCTTCCACATTTTATGCATCCGAAACCATTTGTAGGAGTTTCGATGTGCAAATTTGAAAAACCTGGAAAAAAGAAAACTTGTCAATTATAATAAATTGAGTAGTGGTTAGATGTGAAATAATAAATATACCTACAAGCTTCATTCTAGACAGTATTCGGAAAACAAGTCACTGTCTTTATACTGTCTTAATAAACGATTTATGAAATTTGCACTTTGATTCAAACGTAATGTATTTGTAAAATAACGGTTAGTATAAATTATATAACACACTTGATTTCAATATTTTTATTTTATAAAATAAAATTCATGGATCCAAACAGTCAATACATTTTTCACTAAAAATGTGTAATTGCTTATTCTAATTATTAGGTAAAATAAAATTTTTTGAGCATTTTTTCAGTTTTCTTTTAAATTGG